TAGAGCACTCATGCCTCAGATTTCATTTGCAAGTACCACTGCGAAGTTATGGCGGCTTTTTCTTCACCCCAAGTCAACCCTCATCCGTGAATACCCACCCAGGGGAACATCTCAAAAACCCTGAGTTATCTAGACATGCCTCCATCATCCATCAAATTTTCTCCGCGCGAAATGTAATCTGAGATGTCTCCTTCCCAAGTGGAGTAGATGCCCAGGCTACTCAAACTATACCGGAGAACACCACCAGGAGGCGGACCACAACACCTTCCATCGTTTGCTTATTTTTATAGTGTCAGCTGCACTCTCGCAAGCGAAGTCTTGGCGCGCACAAAGCCCAATTCGAAAAACTCCTTGCCAAAATTCGGAATCTCATACCCTTCTAAGTTATATCCTTCCTCTGTATCATCTTGTCAACTTGTCCTAATCCCTCTCACGTCCATTCCAAAGAACTGTCTCCCAGATTTGTGCGCCACGCTTTGCTTCCTACGTCGGGTATAAATATCGGCGTGGGCGTGTATTTGGTGACCAGCTGAGGCCAGAGAAGGTCGAAGAGTGGTGTGGTCATTGGAATGAGGATGTACTTGGTCGTACTTGTAGACTCGATAAGACGAAGATAGGGGTCAAACTCGTTGGGAGCGAAATAACGAAGTGGATGAGTAATTTGGATTTTTGCCTCGTGGGCCAACTTCTTTGACATTGCGAAATTTGACTGAACTTGGCTCTGGGAGAATATTTCACTCCCAGGTTCGTAGAGGACACCGCGTACAGGTGTTCAGTCTTGCCCTCCCAAATAATAGGCTCCGAGTATGAATAGACAAAGAGGAATATGCTGAGCTCATTATTACCATCAATGATTAAGTAATAAAAATATCAGATAATCGAACAAGAAAGCAGGTAGACTTATGATGAACTGTCGAGAGTCACCCGTCGAAATCCACCAAAGCCTTAGCAGGGCCCAGAGCAGCATTGCCACACAAGTAGGAAGCGAGCACATCGGGCTCAAAGCATACTTATACCGAATCAATGTACCAGGAGTAGGAAAACCACGATGCCAATGTGAATATCTGTCCCAAAATATAAAGCTGTCGAATGACCTAGTGACTCAATGACCTTACATGTATTATCTTAGAAATGATGACTAATTATGTTGATGAGTAATGAGTTACCTGTTTAGGAATGGCGTCAGGAGAGAGGAACAATTGCTGTATATACGTGTTTCCTTTAGTTAGAAGAGAGGAAAGAAGATAGATGTTAACCGCCAATTGTTATTAATGCCACAGAAAGCTTGTGATATAAATACCACCCGAGTATTCCGAAAAAACCACTTGGGGGTGTTTTGTCAAAGATGGGCAAAGAGAAGAGGTGAGTTGCTACGGAAATTGACAATCCAATTCTTCGAAGCAGTGGTAAATAACGTCAAAGGTATGACCGGAAATTGCACAGTGAATTTGTTATTATTATTTCATTTTAGTGTCCTGTCTGAGTCTATGACTATGTAGGACATGCAGGTCCTCTCTACCTACAGGCCAAGGATACATATACCAGTAGTATATCCCCTTCTATGCCTCCCATACAGCTCCCCTCAAATAATACCACCTCTTACAAGACCTCGTTAGATCATACACTTAGAGGAGCCCTTTGCCCTTCATTATCTCCCTTCTCCAGCCAACGAAACGATGGCCATTTGCGAGTGTATGGCAGCCGGGAAAAAATCGCAAAAACCACTAGGTGCGGAGCTCTCCTACTACCGACATTAGGACTAAATCCGAAGATAAAGTGACTCTTATGAAGCGTTTGGAGAGGCCGGCCAGCTGGGCGCTGCAGACTTGTGGGTACCTCGGAGAATTCACACTCTGCCTTTCTAGCCTCCTTCCAACTCCATCCTGAAGGTCGTGCTGAAATGTCTGAAAAGTCTTGATAGAGCGTGATTGCTGTATGGTAGCTTAGCCCAACTTCTTTTGTACCGTCCAGGGCGCTGGGGAGTGCCGTTGACTCATCGACAAAAGAAGTCCTCCCGGCTAATTGGCCGAAATCTTGGTCTTGGCGCCCACAAAAATCCAAAGTTGAAAACTCCTTGAAGATGTCAGACCCAGCGTGGTATTCAGAGACCTGTTTCTCCTCTCGCTCCACATCTCAGCCGCCTATCCCTCCTCAAGATGTATAACCCCATTAGAGCAACAATACCCCATAAGCCAAGATCCAGGCTTTGTATTTTTCGACTTGATTTCCTCCTTGCAGGTATTAATAGCATCGTAAATATGTAGCGATTGATGGCTGGAGATTAATGGGGCAAGCTCCTGTATGCAATTGGAGCAACTTCTTTGTTGGTCGTTGAGGCGAGATGATGCGTGGTTATAGATGGGTTGAGGACTCAGATGATAATGATGAGAGAGGAATTGTCGAGAAGTTGTCAAATGGAGATATGCTTGAGGTTGCTTTCGACTTCGATTCGGATGCGATTCTTCTTGGCTATCCCAGATATGCAGTGCATACTGAGCGATTACACCGGCACCACTGAAGGTGCAGAATTCGTCCTTGCCGGCTTGCACAGTGTATTCAAGAGGAGGAATATTTACACCAGTCTCGAATGACTGGACAAATCGAGGCGTTAATTAGGCGAAGAGAGGAAAACGCTAACACAGGGCAAGGTCAGAATCCACACTGGCAATAACAGTGTGAGTGTACTGGAGGACGAAGGCTGAACACCTGTCAGTGGTGTCCTCTACGAACCTGGGAGTGAAATATTCTCCCAGAGCCGAGATTCAGTCACGACAAAGGGTGAATCTGAGAGTTTTCGTCGAGTGAGCGATCGGGAGGAGTGGTGTTAGCTCATTTTTGGTCGAAAACCTGACTTGCAGAGATTTTACGATTGCACAACACAACAAAATCAACCATCTTCACCCCAGATACGAACCGTGGACAGGCTATAACCTATCTGATGCTCGTATTATAATAACTGACACCATCAAGATCTTATTTTTTTTCTCTGGAAAATCATTCCCAGCCAAAATCACCTCGCGGCTCTCTCCACAATTATCTCACCACCTACCTAAGCAATCCCATACCTCCAAAAGTCAAATCGTCAACAAAGAAGCAAGAGGATGTCCGAACCTCTGCAACTGCCAGTCAATGTGAAGGTACAGTCGAAATACCGGCCTTAAATGCGTCCTCACCTCTTCCAAGGGCACCAACAACTCGACCTGCGACGAATCGCCACCGACGAAATACGTATTAAATTACGTCGGCACACCAACTAGGGCGTTCGAAAAAAGCTGGGGTACCGGTGCCTTAGTCTTGAGCTCTCAGTCGCCTTTTCGGCCTCCGCAGTTAGGGGTACGGCAGCGACGGGGCAAGTCCGGAGGGGTGGACATTCTACAAAGTTTCTGGGATGTCGAGGCTAGCTAAAGGACAAGGGATGCTGTATGGGGGGGAAGGGAATATGAATAGAGGAGGCCTCCAATTAAGAAAACGACACCTGGATGAGGTAAGGTGATGCTGAGATGAGTCAAAGCTGGGACTGAATGGAAGGGAAAAGTTACAGATCGCGAAGGTTTCAAGGGCTCGGGCGCGTGGTGGCCGAGGCTGAGGGGGAATTTGCGCTTCGGCGCGTCAAAAGAGGGTTTCTGGACAGTTGGGCTTGACATGATTCAACACATGGCTGATGTCAGAGGTGGTCCGGTCATTTAGGTGGTAAGAGGTAGAAGTACTTAATGATAGTTAACCTGATCCTGCCCGGCCCCACTCGTGCTAAAGCTCCCATAAGAGTGTGGAGGGTACCAATTGCTTAGCACTTTAATGTACAAAGAAACAAAGAAGTGTGAGTGCACTTCCTAAAGGTGAGACTTTAACGGCGCAGGATCCAGTCAGACAGATAAGGGGTTTTTACTGCAAGGTTTTCTCCCATGTAATTTTGAAAGATTGATAGACACCTGCATGGGCGCCAAATTACGACAATGAAATCAATTTCAAATGCCAGATATTTAAACTAGTTTGATGTAGATTGTGGTCTGTACCTTATAGTCACGTGATCACTCACTGTTCCTTAGAATCAGACGGCGTAGAAGAGAGAAAGGATAGAATGAACATACGCAATTACCAACCCGACTCCTATCACAACTTGTGAAATCACATTACAAGGCCTTCCAACAGAAATTCCTTATTTATAAATTTATGGTCGATTGTTGTCCCAGTAACTTATCTCCCATTCCTTTCTGGAATAAATGATCCTAGCAGGTTGGGGCACCTAAAACTACTCTTTTTATTAAGTTCAGGGACATAAATGTAAAGGGAGAGGCGTCATTCCTTTTGGCCTAACTGGAGTTTTGATATATGAAGGGAAAGTTGAATATGTATAATATTCTAAAATACATCTGTTATCTTTTGTGTCTCAGCCTCAAGGTGTTTTACTCTCACTTCAGACCATGAACGAAAGTACTCACATGACTAAAGCTTCAGTGAAGTCGATATAAATAGATCAAGTATCACCCACATTAATTAAGAGTGTATCTTAAATTTTTTGAGGCTCATGTGCTCTTCTAGCGACTGAGATGGCTATACAGACGAGCGTCAGTTTTTAAGCCTCGACAGAAGTGAGTGTAGCGATGATTTACTGAATGCAAGTTCTGTGGCTGGTCTATTTACACTGATAACCCAGATTTTAATTTATATTAGCACCATGAAATATTCTAGCTGAAATACTGTGAATGAGCTATGTACCAAGCAGATCCTTACAATCAGAGACTCAATACATGACTATAAATATGTTACTTGTTGTTGCGAGCCGATTATGAGATTAATCATATGCCGTGGTGAGGTTTGAACAGTTCTACCATACAAAATTCAACCGTAGTAGGTAAAGCAATATATTAATCTTTAAAATAGGCCTTAAAACTTCTTCCGGATCTAAGAGTACCATCCCTTGCTCCTTAAACGCCATTTTGCGGTTTTGGTTTTCTGCTATAGTACTAACGCCAGTTGGTCTTATGTGTATTATTTTGATCCTATTCATTCGCATTTTCTGGTGGTGAGGGTAGTGATGATATGTATGTCTCGATAAGGGGATCACGTATTGTTGGGTCAAGTGATATATATCGCAAATCACTGAGAATCTTAGGTGGTAAATTAGATGGGAGTGTCCTTTTATGAAGGCTGAAAAGCGACTCTTCTTTAAGAAGTGATAACAAATCCGACTTCAACTTTGATTGGGTAAGTTTCATGCGATTTATATGCTCCCGGTAAATCTTTTCGCGTTCTTTGTCTGTCATTGATGTGTCGCGAATCTCAGCCTCCTTTCTATATTTTCGTTTGAATTCGGGCCAGTACAACTTCGAAGTTGCATGTTTTTGTATAAAGGAAAGGAACGGTATTCGTGGGTCTTTCCTTTCGTGGCCCAAGCGAGCTTCTTGGAGCTGCTTAATTTTTGTTCTACTCCAATCTTCCCATGCCTTTTTTCTACTCTTCATATTTGTAAGAGCTGTATAACGGATGTCATTGATGAGTTTTCCCTCATCTACAAGTTTTTCCCAGGGACTGTATGGATTTATGCCGAAGTCATCTAACAAATCCCTGAAAAGATTTGCTGAGTCTTCATCCGTGACGTGTTTCTGGTTCACCCCACCAACATCAATACCATATTCATCTTGTTCCAAACCATACTCCTCACCCATGGATGCGAGTTGATAAGCAATGTCATTCTCGTTAAACTCAACTGGGGCCGCCGGTGCCGGAATTTCCGAGTTCATATCTTTTGGACTACTGGGGTTATCTTCATCATCGGTAACTTCTTCCTCCAAGTCATCTGATGATTCCGCCTCAGAGGCTAAGTTTTCCTTAGAAACATCAGTTGGTTGATTCTTCGGAATTACAGTCAATTTTTGGTCAAGTGGATTTTTACTCTCCAAGTTTGCCTTTTCTCTAATCCTTGCTTGGTCAAGCGCAAGAATCGCATCTTTCAACCTTTCTGGTACTCGCCAATAACTTTGATTTTTTTCAATATTATAGACGAATCTTCTATCAAGCTTTGTATACACTAAGACCCAATTTTCGAATCCTGGTATAGTGTGGCGTGATTTCGGTTTGTCTGCAGGTGTTTTTTTTTCCTTACTGTGGCTGGTGATATGAGTATTGTAACTTTGAAGTTTTTCAGATACGGGATAATTCTTGGGTATTTGACCAATACTCTTGTATTGCATGAAACTTTGGGATGATTCATTTTGAAGAAGAGAGACCTCAAGGTGTGGTTGAAGAGCTGGTCTAGTGTAAGTAGATTGTTGAGTTTCGGCGTTGTAATAGTACGAGTGTCCCGAGGGAGCTTTATGCTCTGTCCATCCCTGAGGAAGAGGTTGGGGGGTTTGGGATGTTACAGGCTTGTATGTAGAGTGCAACATTTCGTCAGATTAACACAGTTGATGATTTGCGATCTTGACTTGCTGTGAAGCTAGATACATGTGCTGAAGTTCTTGGCCCCATTCATATCAAGTACCAGGGGAGAAATTTGGGCCAGCCTGTCTACGTGCTAAGCTCTTCCACACTATTCAATACGATTACCAGACAATTTGTTGTGTTATAGATACGCGCTTTTTACTTGTCATCGTAATATTATCTTGAAGTTAAGATTTTTTGCACTACTATCTATTGATTTGAGTCGTCGGGACAAATTTTGTTTGTGAGATGGCAAAGACTTGTAGCCTGATATATAGGGCAGCTTGGGGCGCATCAGCCTGAGACCAGTGATAAGCTAGACGTTGTAAACCAGCTAGAATTGATGTAAATGCATAGCATCCACACCCGGATAATAAGTTAACCATTATGTCGAGAAGATATGATTCGAGGGTATGTCCTGACAAACCATTTCTATGATATTTTGACTGACTTTATTTCCAGACCACTATATTCTCCCCAGAGGGTCGACTTTATCAAGTAGAATACGCACTTGAGGCCATCTCGCATGCTGGTACAGCACTGGGTATCTTGGCTAAAGATGGGATCGTTCTTGCGGCAGAAAGAAAAGTTACCAGCAAGTTACTTGAGCAAGATACATCTGCAGAAAAACTCTATATCTTAAATGAGTACATCTCTATCTGACATCTTGGAACTTTCTTCTACTAACCTAATCTACAGCAATATGATTTGCGCTGTCGCTGGAATAACTGCCGATGCCAATATTCTCATTAATTATGCACGCCAGTCTGCTCAAAGGTACCTTCTCACATATCATGAGGATATTCCATGCGAGCAGCTTGTTCGCCGTTTATGTGATCTGAAGCAAGGATATACACAGCATGGTGGTCTCCGGCCGTTTGGTGTTTCTTTTATATACGCTGGATATGATCCTCAAAGGCAGTTTCAGCTGTATCAAAGCAACCCAAGTGGTAATTATGGCGGGTGGAAGGCAACAAGTATGGGTGCAAATAACACCTCCGCCCAAAGTTTATTGAAACAAGACTACAAGGAAGATTGCAACTTAAAGGAAGCATGTGAGATGGCAGTAAAGGTGTTGAGCAAGACGATGGACTCAACTAAATTAAGTAGCGACAAGAGTAAGTCCAAGATAGCCCCTAGGAATACATTATACTTATATTCTACAGTCGAATTTGCTACAGTCGGAAAGACAAAAGATGGAAAAATATACCATCACCTATGGAATGCTGAAGAAATAACAGCGCTATTAAAGCTACATGATCTAGCTAAAGATGAGACTGGAGGGGACCCAATGTAACAAGAAAAGAATTTTTTTCGAGCTGAAAATTAATCTTCTTCTCTCAAAAGACTTTTGATAAGTGAAAAAATACAAGGCCTTAATCATACATTGCAAATCTTTCAAGATCCTCAGTATGGTCACAAACAGCTGAAAATATCGCCCTACAGGCTTTCACATTACTTATTACGTACAGACCTTTCGAAGTTTGATAACTGAAATAAAACTTGCCTCACGTGGCTCAAGTTATTTCAAAAAGTTGCCGCTAGTGGTAGGAACGGCTTCAATATTCTTTATCTTTCATGGTGTGATGCTCACAGAGGCAATGATCAGGATTACCATAAATATAGAAAGTCACGTGCTATTGTAACCTACATCTAATATCAAAGAAATAATGACCCCTTAGTCACGATGTTGTAGGGCGCACTCATTCCGTAGCCAAACAAGTGAATTCAAATGTACGAGTTAAATTTTTGTGGACATCAACAGGATTGTCAGCTAAATAAGTATAAATGTTATAACTTTTACTAAAAAGCGATAAACAAAATTTAAACTTATGAGAATACTATATTTGCCAGAATGCTTCGCATCTTTCCACCCACTCATGCAAATTAAAATGAAATCGACAATCTGATTTTTATCTCTTCTCTGCCATTTGCCTATCCTAAAACTTTCTGTGCTACATCATGATATATGTGGGTGAATACAACCGTTCCCACGCATTGCAAAAAGCGACAATGGTGACCTCTGACAACGACAGGGGAGTGCAAATAGCCCCAAAGATAAATTCTCGAAATCCTTTGAAATCTACTTCAGAGGGTTAGACTCATTGTCGTGTGTGAAGTGGATGAGGACCTAACCACAATGGAGGATGTGATTAATGCCTAAAAAGCTTTCAATTATCACAAGAAGGTTTAGATAGCGATGTTCCAGAACACGTGTCCGTACGAGGAGGTCGTAAAGACGAAACCCGCGGATCCTGTCAGAAAAGCTGCCCTTGTAGGAGCGTTGGGGGTGCTAATCCAGAGGACCTACGCTGTTACGGTTAGACTGTTGTTTAAGTTTAAATGGATAACTAAGACTAATATCGAGAATGTTCGTGATGAGGCTACATGAGGAGGAATAGATAATGCTCAACGAAACGGTACTACAATACAGGTTGAAGCATTATTAAAACTAAATGACACCTGAAAATGCGTGGCTAAGTTGCAAGTTCATGTCTAGGGACATATCATCAGTCTGCGGGTTCAAAAGTAGATCGAAAGTTTATAAATATTTGTTAGAAGTAGCAAGAGTTTTTATTTCTCCTAACATAATTTCAAAAATCGACTTATTCATTACTAATTCGGTTTCTGTCACAGACGAAATAGCCTTTGCTCCTAAAATGACGAAAACGGCTGAACGAATCGATATCAATGGAGCACAAAACTTGTAGTAAGAATATCTGCTCTCAGTGGTGCAACTACTTGTCCAGAGAGTATTTGCGATTCGCCAAATGCAAAGCAACAACACCGAGATGATTTTTCAGCCAATGACCTAGAGAAGGCTGGTTGTTGTGAATGATGAGCACTGGAGATATTCTTGGGATGGACTTAGAGTCAGTTGTGATATAATGTACGAGAACTGAGATGTGGACTTTAGGAGGGATTATTATTTGCTAAAGTATGATGGATAAATGATGTGATCTATTTTGGACACTTTTGGGGGCAGTGCCTGACCACCTGTCTAAATACATGAGAAGCTGGTCCGTGCACTGCTATCACTTCTTAACATCCTGATCCTCAACCAATCTCTCCAACCACTACGTAGCTTACCTCAATTGTGTAGGCACAGCGACTATGTTGATCCATAACCTAGACCATGCACGGCTCTGCGTTGTGTTAGCATGGACTAGGATTATAACACACCCTCTGTCGATGTGCTGGCTCAGAGCAATAGTGACACGGAAGTGACTGTTTCTCAGTGGATTTGTGTTTGGGTTTTAGCTTTTGTTAGTGGATCTGCTAGTTGGTCTGATGATGGAATATATGTGACTTTTATGCGACCATTTTTGTACTGTTCTCTGCAGTAGTGGTTTCTCAGTGCTATGTGTTTGGATCGCTTATGGTTATCATGGTTTTTTATCAGAGACAGTGCTGATTGGTTATCGACGTATAGGTTGGTACATTCCGTTCCTTCTATGAGATTTGTGAGTTTGAGTTCTTCAAATAGAGATTTGATCCATTGCAGTTGTCAACAGGTCTTTGTGGCTGCAAGATACTCTGCTATTGTTGTTGAGAGAACTACTTCTCGCTGCAGATGTGATTTCCAGAAGATGGGTCCAGATGCAAGCCTGATTAATGTCCCGGATGTTGACCGGTTGGTCGAGGGATCGGCTGCAAAATCTGCATCTGAGTATGCCTCAAGGGTTGGTTTCTTGTTGCTTCTGGTAAATGTGATGCCTTTATCCGGGTGTTTGGCTATGTAGCGAAGGATGCGGCGGGCAGCTGAAATATGCTCTGCAGATGGATTATTTAAGAATCGTGCAAGGTGATTCACAGCAAAGACAATGTCAGGACGTGTGTTATTGGCTAGGTATTGGAGACCTCCAATGATCGAATTGTACTCTAACTTTGATTGCCTTGAACATTGAGAACCGTTGGGTTCAATTAGCCTTTCTATTGGTGTGTTTACTGGCTTACAGTTATCTAATCCATGTCGCTTTAGAAGGGTACGGGCGTATTGGCCCTGAGAAAGTTCGAGTTTATTTTCATTTTCCTTGATGTGTATGCCAAGAAATAAGTTTGCATTGACGCATTTAGGGTTAAATTTTTTGTTTAATGCTCGCATAAATAATTCTATTTTTGTATTATTTGGTCCTATGACTTGAAAGTCATCTTCATGTAGGAGTACAAAGAGATCATTTTGCGCATTTGAATATAAGCACACGTCTGATGTTGTTGAATGAAGGCCAAGTGTTGCTAGGGTTGCTCTTGCATCATTGTACCATAGGGCCGCTGCTTGTTTGAGGCCGTAAAGGCCATTCTTTAGGCGAATTACATGGTTCCCTTCTTCAAATCCTTTTGGTAACTCCATGTATAGATCAATTTTGAGGTCTGGATTGAGGAAGGCTGTTGGAACATCACCTTCACATCTGTACCATTTAAGGTAATAGGCTATTAGTAACATAATTCTACCTGTTTCTGGCCTCGGGGTAGGGGCGAAGGTTTCCTGATATTCGATGCCGGGTCTTTGAATAAATCCTTTTGCAGTGCATCGTGCCTTCCATTTATCAACACTTCCATCCGCATTGTACTTCTTTTTGAAGACCCATTTGCATTTCATTGGCTTCCTACCTTTTGGTAATTTTTCGTGTCTAATGATTTCAAATGTTCCCGTGTCAATTAGCGATTTTATTTCTTCATTTGCAGCCTTTTTCCATTTGTGAGCCTCTGGGCTAGACATTGCTTCTTCCCAGGTTTTTGGGTCACTTGATTTGAGTGCCAACTTTCCATGATGGAGGCAATAATAGTCAACTCATTTTACTGCTCGTCCACGTTTTGTACGCATCATATCTCCCTCTGGCGAGCAGGCCCTCTTTTGACCAGCTTGGGATTTTACTGGATCCCATCCTGTCATGGTGAAATTGTTTTGTTGAAGTTCTGTTTCGGAACTTTGTGCGTTTTCTGTTTGGTTACAAGAGATATTTGACATTTCAAATTTTCCAATATCTGCATCATTGTTTACATTTATTATATCTGAGCTACCTCTCTGTTGTATTAACCCAGTCTCCGGTGAATGAGGCCTTTTATGGCCAGCTATTGATGGTATTGGGTCCCAACCTGTCATAACACGGTCGTATTTCTGGGCTTCCTGATTTTCTGATGATTTTTGGTTTGTAAACTGTTCTAAATCACTTTCAGGAGAGTTGAGCTCGATTAGATTGTTTATGTCAGTGTTTGAGTTTATGTCTGAATCTGATGGGATCTGTTGCAGATTGATTAATGATAAGGGATTGGGACTCATATGTTGCCAGGTTGATTGAGGCACCAGAGGGGTTGTTGGAAGCTGATCAACGTTAGTTTTGTCATTATTTTCAAGAGAAGGCAGTATTGTAAGTGTATTTTTAGGTGGTGGAGGTTTATGTGCAGGTATTTGGTTATTATTTAGCTCAGATTGAGGTATGTTTCCTGGGTATTGACTCAGATCTGGCAGTGATGCGTTGAATGGCAGATTGTTTGAATCTGATGTTGACGCATCTTGATTGGGCAGTTTGTTATGTGGCAATGAAGGACTCTGATATGTGCCTAATGTGGGTGTGATCTGTTGATTGCTGTTCCAGTAGTTTGTGGCTTTTTCCTTATTTATTAGGTCAAGTTCATCTCCCAATAGAACATCTTCATTAAATGTTGCGTGTAGGGTGAAACTGACAATCCACTTCCATCCTTTGGTTGGAGTTTTGTGTGGATGGATTATGAGGAAGTTCTTGGAAGTGTTTACTTCGAAGCCTAGGAACCACCCTTTTTCTGCCCTTGGTTCGAGTATGCTTGGTTTAGGATTGATTAGTTTGTATGCTCAACAGCCGAATTGTGGTAGATTTCTGAGATTAATTTTATCCATGTGTGGTTGTTGTAGGCTTTGTAGGAAGTCAATGATGGGTATCATTTTTGTACGTAAGCAGTATAATCTATTCAGAATGAAGGATGCATGTTGCATTGCATAGGACAAATAACATAAAGGCATATTTGCATCTATAAGGATGGACTTTGTTACTCTGAGAACTACTTTGTTGGCGGCTTCTGATGATCCATTCTGTTCCAGTGTGTAGGGTGCTGACATATGGGTACGTATTCCATGTTGTTCACAGAAGGCTTTTGTCTTGGAGAATTCGGATCCTCCGTCTCTAAAGATAGTTCGCACTTGTTTGTCATAGATATGGTGCATAATTTTGGTCCATTGCACTAATGATGAGGCAATTTGGTCTTTTGTTTGGCTGGTGAGTACCCAATGCATGCGAGTTTTCGCGTCAGTGATTATTATAG